TGGTACCCTTTGGTCTCCAGAACACTTTGGACCTGATGTAGAGTCATTACTGTCCAATATTTTCCCATAGCAAGTTCAGAAGCTTCTTCTACCAGGAGGGCTATTGCAGCCTCTGTTCAAAGACAAGCCAGCAACCCCTGTGCTATGTTATTGAGTTACTTTGAAAAATAGCCCATCAGTCGTGTTTCATTTCCTAATTTCAGGGCAAGAACTCCCGAAGCTCGTCCCTGTTTTTCTGCTATGTATAAAGTGAAAGGTTTTTCTAAATTTGGTAAAGCCAAAGCTGGGGCTAACAAAAGCTTTGCTTTTAATGTTTGAAAGGCTGTCTGGTGGGCTTTAGTCCAGAGTAAAGGTACTTCATCAAGGCCTTTAATTGAGTCGTACAATGGTCTGGCTAAGAGCTCAAATCCAGGAATCCACAGGCAGCAAAAACCTGTCCTACCTAGGAATATACAAGGGGTCCAGGATCTAATATAGCCTTTTTCCTGTCAGTAGACAGGGTACAGTGACCTGGTGTTAGCTCATATCCCAAATATTGTACTTTCAGTTTAGATATTTGCACCTTTTTAGGGGAGACATGGTACCCTCTGTCTGCCAGGAAACTAATTTATAGAACTGCCATTAATTTATAGAACTTGTTTTATGGAACTAAGATTAGAATATCAACCACATTTTTTTTAAGGATTTTATTTATTTGACACAGAGAGAGAGCACAAGTAGGCAGAGTGGCAGGCAGAGGGAGAGGGAGAAGCAGGCTCCCCACTGAGCAGAGAGCCTTGATGTGGACTTGATTCCAGGACCCTGAGATCATGACCTGAGCTGAAGGCAGATACTTAATCAACTGAGCCACCCAGTTGATAAGGCGCCTTATCAACTACATATTAAACTGTAGCCCCTTGAGGTAGGGAAATATCGTGGAGGTCTTTGCTAAGCACAGCTGAACAAGTGAGGTTTGCCTCTAACTCCCTTCAGTAAGACTGTCCAAGTTCATGGAGTAGCGTGTTGGAGAGGCCTATTCAAAGGCAAATAAATAGTGGCTCCCTTTACTTACTTGGAGGGATGCAAAAAGAAGGTGTCTTTTTTTTTTTTTTAAGAATTTATTTATTTATTCATGAGAGACACACAGAGGCAGAGACATAGGCAGAGGGAGAAGCAGAGGGAGAAGCAGGCTCCCTGCAGGGAGCCCCATGCAGGACTTGATCCCAGGACTCCAGGATCACGCCCTTAGCCGAAGGCAGATGTTCAACCACTGAACCACCCAGGTGCCGCAAGAAGGCATCTTTTAAGTCAAGTACTTTACATCAGTTGCCATTACCAGGGGACCTGGGTGAGAATAGTATATGGATTTGGCACTATGGGATGAATAGGTACAACGGCTTCATTTATAGCTCTTAGATCTTGTACCATTCAGTATTTCCCATTTGGCTTTTTTACTGGTAGAATTGGAGTGCTGTAAGGAGATTGACAAGGCTTTAAAATACCCTGTTTAGGAAACTTAGCAGTATGCAGTTGTAACCCAGCTTTTGCCTCAGGTTTTGAAGGGTACTATTTTTTTATGAAGTATAGTAGTTGGGTCCTTTAAGGTCACTTTAACTGGTTGTGCTTTAAGAGCCCTTCCTGGGACATCATAATCCCAGACCTATGGGATTGACTTTCTTCCAGATATTAGAAGGGATGTCAGGCTAAGGCTTTACTTCTCCAGGTGTTAAAGAGACCAAGCCACCCCCTCCCTTTAAGAACAGACCTGCTTCCTAGTTTACACATGAAGTCTCGTCCAAATAATGAAGTGGGACAAAACTGAAGGACTACAAAAACATGAGTGATCAATTGACTTCTATAGCTATAGGGTAGAATCATTGTCTGGTGGCACATGTTAGTTTCTCTTCTCTGCCAACGATCGATCTTATGGCTGGAAAGACAAGTAAGGCCAGAATGCTGAATGAGAACAGAGCAAATGGCTCCTGTAGCAATAAGGAAATTGATAAACTCACTTTCTACATTCAGGTTAACTTGGGGCTCAGGCAGCTTGATGTCCAAGCGAGCCCAACCAGCCTCAGGGCCCTGTCACACCAGATCCTCCGGTTCCTGCTCTTGGGTGGGGAATTGGGTTCCTTTCTTCCTCTCTCTCTGGAGTTGAGGACAGTCTCTCTTCCAATGTCCTTTTTTCTGACAGACAGGACATGGCCCTGGTGGAGAGCCTTTGTTTGTACAGCCTTCACTGCAATGTCCAATTTGGCCACACCTGTAGTGCGGTGTCTTACCTGGTCCTGAGTATGATACGGACTTTTTCTTCATGGTCCTAATTTAGGACCATGAAGTACCTGGTTGGTCCGGTGTTGTGGGGAATCTGCAATAGCACCAACCAATAGTTGAGTCTGTATTTCAGCTCACTGGTCCTTTTCCTGCTGTAAGGCCATATCTTTATTATTAAAGACTCCAGTAGTGGGGCACCTGGGTGGCTCAGTCGGTTAAGCGTCTGCCTTAGCTTAGGTCATGATCCCAGGGTCCTGGGATGGAGCCCTGCATCAGGCTCCCTGCTCAGCAGGGAGTCTGCTTCTCCCTCTACCCCTCCCCCCTGCTTGTGCACTGTCTCTCTCTCACTTGCTCACACACTCTCTCAAATAAAAAAAATTAAAGACTCCAGTAGCTGCCTCTAATACTCATTAGGTGGGGGTTTGAGGTCCTAAAGCCATTTTAGTCAGTTTTGGCATATGTGGGGCACCAATTGACTTATAAAGTGTATGGTTAGTATAGTTGTTCCCTCGGGTAAGATTGGGTCCAGATTTGTATATTTATGGATGGCTTCCATTAAACAACCCTGAAATAGAGCTGGATTCTCATTGGCTCCTTGAGTAACTTCCTGGTTTTTATCAAAATGTATTGGTTTAGATAATACTTTCTTTTTTCCTTCTATTAAACAGGCAATCATATGGTCTCACTTTTCCCTTTCCTATCTATCTGCTTGGTAATTCCAGTGAGGTTCAGGATTGGAAATAGCAATGCCTCCTACCAGATAACGATCTCTATCTCTGGCTGCTAGTTCATCGGCAAATTCTCAAGTTCCTGCCCAGATATAGTTCTTTTCCTCAGGGGTGCAACAATGAGATAATATGAAGGATATACCTTTCCAGGTCAAATCAAACATAATAGATAATTGTTAGGAGCCCCCAATAAATTTAGAAGGGTTTTCAGAATATTGTCCTATTGTTGTTTTATCTGAGCCAGGTCTGCATGGAGAATGGGACGTGGACTTTGTGCCCGTTTCTCCATTGGCAACCTCTCCAAAAGGATGCAATCCAGATTTAGGTGGAAGTCCTAGAAGATAGGGAGTTCTGCTCCTGGTAAGTCCAGCCGGGCTAGGAGGAGAGGCATCTTGAGGTTTATAAGTAGGAGGGATAGTAATAGAGCCGGTGTTCTCTTTGTTTGGATTGGTCAGTGATTCCTCCAGTAGCCCAGATTTTTTAGGAGGAATGGGCCTACTTAGACAATCATCATCAAATATGTCCTGAGGTGAGGTTATTCATTTGATTGGTGGTTAGACACATTCTGCAAGAGGCCCTCAGGTTCAGATCCTAATTCAGGACCATGAAGGCCTGGAATAGGGTACCTCAATCCATATGCCCTGTTTTCTGCAGAAGAGATCTAATGGATAGATTGTATTGAAGTATAATGGGCCAGTTTTCCTCAATTCCTAAGGAGTACTGAGGCCATGCAATGTTATAGAAGATCAGTTTTCTCTTTCATAAATCTTGTAATCCAAACTGATTCCAGTGGATTATAAGGCATCCCAAAGAATAATCCTTGGGGACTGAAGAAGATCCCATGTTCTTAGAAAAGTAGAAAAGTCCATTATCAAAAATTACCCCCTCCCATCTCCCAGGTAGTGTCCCACACAGGACATGTCAGAGGTTCCTGATGTCAGAGTGACCAGAGGCGTCCCTCTACAAAGTTGCTATGAACAGCACCTTGCCTTGTAGAAGAGATACTGGCATTTCTTCCTGCTTCCCCATTGCATCCTAGGCTACAAATGGGTGCTGGTGAATGGACCAAAATGACATGCCATGAAGAACCCACCATTTTTAATCCACGGAAAACACTAAGAAAAGTTTTACAAGGGGGAAATGACCCAATTTTGTAATTTAAGTAGTTAGTAGGGGACACTGACAGAATAAAGATAGAAATTCACCATGATCTAAGTGACATTCCAACAGGTGTGCTTGCCTCGGAAATGGTCCCCAGTTGTGTTTTAATCAAATTGGGTACTGGTTTCAGCCAGCTCTGAGCAGAGTTCTCGCAACCAAAAGCAGCTACACCAGAAATGTCTAGAGAATCACATTAGACCAATGAAGAGGAAACCTCACATGGCAGTCTTTCAACTGGCAGCCATCCTAGAGACTTCGGTGGCTGTCCTGTGCTGAAGAAAGATCACGTTGTATAAGGACAGAAACAAAGAGAAGGCATCAAGTTTTTGGGTCTTATTACCATTCTGACCAATGTACTAACTTCTAGCCAAAAGGCAATCTTTCTCCTCCCCATAGAGTAGCCACAGGCTAGAGGATTGCAGCCTCAGTAATGAATGTGAAAGCGTTCCAATAAGACAATACTCCTTGAGGGACACCTGGGTGGCTCAGCGGTTGAGCATCTGCCTTCAGCCCAGGGCGTGATCCTGGAGACCCGGGATCGAGTCCCACGTCAGGCTCCCTGCATGGAGCCTGCTTCTCTCTGTGCCTGTGTCTCTGCCTCTCTCTCTGTTTCTCATGAATAAATAAATAAAATATTAAAAAAAAAAAGACAATACTCCTTGAAAAGCCCCTGAAATGAAACTAAAGGGAGAGCAAGAAGAGGTATTCACTGGGTTTGCACAAGGTTCAGAATCCAGATGAGAAGCTTCGAGCTGCACACTGGGTACCAAAATGATATAATTTGGAGTTTGGGTCCAAGAGCAAGTGGCCAAGAAAGAATTCTTGAGACGTTTTCAGTGCAAACAAAGGTGATTTTATTAAAGCACAGCAAGAGGACCTGTGGGCAGAAAAGGCTGAGGTCTAAGCATGAGGAATGACTGATTACATAGGGTTTCTTATCCAATGGAAGAATATGTGACGTTACGGCTCCAGGAAATTGAGTCTATAGGTTTATATATAAACTATATAACTATAGTTACATGACTATTCTCCAGATTGTGCTTTTCTTGTAAAAACTGTGATCTTTTATCAGGTGACCATTTGCTTTTTCCTTCCTTCATTCTTGGGCAGTCCTGAGGGCCTGAGCAATGTCACAAATATCCCACTTTCATCTTTGGGGGAGGGGAGATGTGGAGTGTCAGTTTGTCTTTTGCCCTCTGCTTGCCCTTTATTGTCTCATTAGCCCCACCCAAGCCTGGCCCAGCCACTAGAAGGAACTACAACCTTCTCCTCATCCACAGCCTTATCTCTCACTGGCCTGGATAGATGTACACCGCAGCTTCAATTTTCTCTCCTTCTACTGCCACATCCTTGGAAAGGCTGTAAAGCATCTGCTCTGTTCTGAGCTTATCTGTTTTGAGAGCAGGGGGAGCCCAGATTGAGAAGAGCAGAGGAGCCATACTCTCACAAGACTGTCAGAGAACAAGTAAAGCCCAAGATATACCTAAGATCCTACCCCAGAACAGGGCTTGGGAGTATGCTGGGGTGGGGAAGTTGATGAGAAGCAACGAGAAGAGAGAAGCCCACCCGGATGCCTAGGGACTAAGCAGCCAGCGGCTGGCATGGGGACCAGGCCAGGGTGTGCTGCCTCTATCTGTGAGGCGGGGCTTTTGGGCAGGCCCCAGGCTTTTCCAGGGGGTGTTCAGGTAGCTCGCTACTGCTGCTACTCCAGCTCCAGAGACACAATCAGAAGTACGTACTGCTCACAAAAGTCACCCCTGGGCTGGAAGTGCTTTCTGAGGCCTCTGTTTCCTTTTCTGAAGGTGCTGACTCTGGAGGCCTAGAGGGAACAGGAGGCCATCACTGCCTGACCAGGAATTGAGCCCATGGCAGTATCCCTCACCACCCCTCCCCAGAGGAGGGGGATCTGGCCCCAAGCTTGTCAGATGTCTGTGACTCCTCAGGGCCCCATATTGGCTTCCAGGCAACAATAGACACCATGAGGTAGAGGCCTGGGCTTCAGAAAAAACAAGTAGCTCACCGTGGGTGGGGCCCCTGGTCCAAGTCGCTGATGGTGTCCTTCAGGGGCTGGCCACGTGTCTCTGGCAGCAGAGCACAGAGTAAGCCTGCCCCAATGGGGAGGCTGCCATAGATGACCATAGGGAGGGCCGCCTGGTACTCGCCCAGCAGGATCACAAGAGGGGTAAGGATCCCTCCAATCCTTGAGAAGATGCCCATCAGCCCCATGCCCGTCTGCCTGGAGGAAGGTCAGTATAAGCTGAGCAGATCCAGCCAAGACTCCAGGCCACAGCTCCACCCCAGCTCTACCTTGGGAGAGCCCAGGCTCTCATTATGTCCCCACAGGCTCCCCAGGCTCACCCAGCCCAGTCAGCCTCTGTTCTCTGCTTCTGCACACTAACTGCTCATAGTCCAGCTGGGTGCCATGCTTCTTCCACCTCTAGGCTTTTCTGTTTGCTGCCTTTCTGCTCACCCACCAAGTCTCAAGCAAAAGTCTGTACCTCCCGACTATCCCCTCAGCTCCCCACCTGAGTGGTCCTCTTCTCAACCATTTATTCTTAGACTTCCTCCATATTTCAGTCTTGACAAAGCCAGGGCATGACCTACTCCTATATCTGTCCTCCACTGCCTAGGATGACATGGGGATTATATCGCTAGCTGCCCTGGACCCCACAAGCACTGCTGCCCCTGAGCCAGCCTCATAAGCTATCTATGGGATAGTAGTGAGGGCAGAGGCGGGATGGCCAAAATCAGGGTGTTGGGGCAGAGGAGCAGGAGCTGCCCAGCAGCCCTTACCGGATGATGGTGGGGAAGAGCTCAGCAGAGTACACGTAGGAGATGGTAAATCCAGAGGCCGTGGCAAATTTGCCCACCACGGCCAGCACGGTGACCACCACAGGCAGATCTAGTGGAGGATGCTGGTCAGCCAAGTGCAGTAGACAGTCCCCTACCCTGGGTCCCACCCCTGCCCTGCCCTCCCAAACCCCCCTGCTGCACCCAGACCCCAGGGCAGCCCTCACTCTTGGAAGGAATGCTATGGGCTTCTGGTAGCTTGCAGGGAGGTGGTTTGAGGGGTGAGGGTGTGGGAGAGCCAGGCCTGGTACCTGCTGGGACAAAGATGATGGCAATACACATGAGGCCACCCAGAACAAGACTGAGCATCTGACTCCACTTGCGGCCCAACCATTGCATCATGAAGATGCTGGAGTAGCGGGCGGGCACTTCAACTGCTCCGAAGATTAGCTGCGTCAGGTAGATATCCAGGCCAAAGTCACCGACTTGGAGGCTCAAGCCATAGTATCCCAGGCTGTCCACAAACCTACAAAGGGTCCAGGAATCCCTGTCACTGCTGGGTGATGAGATACCATCGCTCTCAGGGAGAGCCTGCCAGAGAGGGAGTCACACAGCCCATTCCTGACAGTCACCATGCCCCAGCTCCTGACACACCAGAGACACATGCAGGAGCCTCAGGGAGGGGCATAGACCCTGGTGTACTCACCAGACATAGCAGAGGATTAGGGTCATCTTCCAGAGCTGGGGGTGTCTGAACAGATCCAAGGCATTCCCCGAGGGGCCTGTCTTCTCTGCAACCAGCTGGGGGGAAGATGCACAGTGAGGGGCCAGGCAGAAATCTGTGCAGGCCAGATTCAGGGGCAGGGCTGAGTTCGGCCTGTAAGAAGTACCTGGCTCAGGAGCTCTGGAGAGAGTTTCCGCTTGTTGACAGAGGCCACCTTCTGGATCACTTGTCTCGCCTCCTCTACCCTCCCCCGGGTCAGAAGCCACCGTGCTGATTCTGGCAGAGCCCTGCGTGTTGGAATGGCTGTGACGTTGGAGCCCCTTACTCCCCCAGAGGTGGTCCCAGCTGTTTCAGGGCACACTGAACCCCATACCCCTTGTGCTTTGGAGTGTGCTGTGAGGTGAACATTAGTGTTGCACTCCAACCTCAGCACAGCTAGCCGGGGAGTGGCTTGCTCCTGGGAACTACCTCCTTACCAGAAGTAGAAGAAGAGCAGCAAGACAGGTGCAGCGCCAGCCATTTGGAAATGCCTCCAGTTTCGGATGCCATAGGCGAGTCCTGCCAGTGCCATCTCACCAATGGAGAAGGCGCACTGGGCCAGGACCACGGATTGAGTCCTCCACGAGGGCCCCACCCACTCTGTAACTGTGTAAACAGATAGGCTGAGACTGGGCCAGCCCCTGCCCACCCCCTCCCTGTCACACCCTAGATTCCCCCCTGGCAGCATGGGCCTCAGTCTCACTTGTGCATGGCCAGGTATGGGGGGGCAGGTACCTAACAAGCCTCCCCAAACATGGCCAGCTCAGACCCCAAGGCTTTGCCTCATGCCTCATGGCTCAAGGCTTCAGGACCTAGACACTCACGTAGGGTCACGTTGCTGAAGGTATACCCAGCGACAGCAGTGGCCACAGCAAAACGCAGGACCATGTAGAGCTCGAAGCTGGGCACAAAGGCTGTGCTCAGACCGAAGATGGCAAAGAGGAACAGCTGCACCAGGATAGTGGCCCTGCGGCCAATCCTAGAGTAACAAAGCAGGTTCATGAGGGAATCTCTTTGAGGAGAAGGAGGTAGGGGAGACCCAGCCCCACCCTGGGCTCTCTGTCTGACAGAGGACATATGGCCCTGCCCTGGGAGCTCTATTTGAGGGAGAGGGGAACAGGGGCTCATCCTGGACACCAGGGAGGATCATGGGGGGTGGGAGTGGGGTAACCGTGCCAGGAACCTAGGAGCATGATAGGTCAGGGCTGAGCTGGTCAATGTTCTTACCAGTCACAGAGAGGCCCAAAGATTAGAGACCCAGCGAGGAGCCCGGCCATGTACACGGACTGTGAGGTCTCCTTCAGGTGCTTCCGATCACAAACCAGGTTGAACTGAGGCAGACACAGGCAGATATGAACCAGGGGCTGCTGACGGCAAGTCCTACTTACAAACCTCTCAGGGAAGATGCTTGTGGTTCCCAAACTGTGTGCAAAGTCACCCCCAGGACACCAGAATAAATTCATGGGGCACAGAACAACACTTAACATTTTAAAGGGAAATATAGCAATACTCAACATCTGTCTGATATTACAAGAGCTACCAACTAAGGACAGTTTTGTTTCAACATGAGATCATGCTACATTCCTTTCAGCAATGTCATATCTATGTGAAGCTGTATTTTTGGCAGCTGTATTGACAAAAGAAGCAAGCACCATGTGGAGTGGAAAATGTTCAAGGATGGAGAAGTTACGTAGCTCCCAATAGGTACATATATCCTATTAGTAGGAGATGTATTTATTTAAAAATAAAAATATTCTCTTTCAGTTTATGTGTATTATTTTTTTAAACAGCTAGTGAGTTTTTAGAACATAATTACTTAAGTTTTTTGGATCTAATTAGTTCATACATAAAACTGTTAGGTTTGTCTTTTGGGCTGAAGATGCCATGGTGAATTACTGATACAGGATACAAAGTTTGGAACTTCTGACATACCACTAATTGCTACTTCCTGACAAATGGGGCCTCTTCCCGACAGCCAGAGCACCCCTTGGACCTGCTTGGGCCTCTTCAAATTTTCTCATCTGGCTGCAAAATCTCCATGAAACTCTCATCATTCACAGGTGGGTGAGAATCCCAAGGAGCCCTCACACACTACTGGCAGAAGGAGATGGGGACAGAGGAACACACACATGGGTGCAAGTGCGTGAGGGCCCTCACTCTCATGCACACTCAGAAGTGGGGCAACCCACCTGGAGACTCACAGAGAGAACCTACCCCGTGGCCTGAGAAATTGAGTGGAGCAAATACGCATGTTCGTATAACTCTGTACACACCTATTGCAGGTGTACACATAGGAAGCACATGTGACTGACCCCCACCTCCGCTGATCTGCAGGCCCCTGGGGGAGTTCTGGGCCCTCTGCACACAGCTCAGCTCCATGCTTCAATGTCTGTGGGGGGAGCAGACACGTGAGTTCTCCTCCACAGCTCATGGAGATAGCTTCACGATGACTAATGCCTTTTGAGGGCTCACTCTGTGTTGGGTAGTCTGCTAAATGCTTCACATGTGTTATCTAATTCTGACAATGATCCTTGATTTATTAGTGTACCCTCCTGAGGGAGAAGAAGTTATGCACATTATCATAGGTCTCACTGCTGGATGGCATTCCTTTTGTTCCAGAGAAGGACTGAAACAGAGTGAAAGCTAAGAGAATGGGGTGCCTGAGTGGCTCAGTTGGTTAAGCATCTGCCTTTGGCTCAGGTCATGATCTCAGGGTCCTGGGATTGAGTTCCACATCAGGCTCCCTGCTCAGTGGGGAGACTGCTTCTCCCTCTACCCTTTTCCCCTCCTTGTGCTCTCTCTCTCTCAAATAAATGAATAAAATCTAAAAAAATAATAATAATAAAAAGAAAGCTAAGAGGCAGCCCGGGTGGTGCAGCGGTTTAGCGCCGCCTGCAGCCTGGGGTGTGATCCTGGAGACCTGGGATCGAATCCCACGTCAGGCTCCCGCATGGAGCCTGCTTCTCCCTCTGCCTGTGTCTCTGCCTCTCTCTCTCTCTCTCTCTGTGTGTGTGTGTCTCATGAATAAATAAATAAAATCTTTAAAAAAAAGAAAGCTAAGAGAATATTTGCTGATGAATCAGTAAATGAACTAATACAACTAGCCAACTATCATCAGTCAAAATAACTTTTAGCAAGAAATTAATCAGTCTAGGAGACATCATTGTGCTCATACTTCTGTCTCAAGAACAACTGTTAATTTTCAATAAGTGTCAAATGATTAACTGCTTGGCCCTGGGAATGAAGTGAGTCAAGACAGGGGATTTGAACTTATTCCACCCACTTCTAGTCTGTTTGGTTTTTGTGTAGCAACCACAGATTGCTTTTGGAGTTAGACACCCTTTAAAATAAATAATAAATAAAGGCCTGCTACTATCAGTCTCTGGAACCTGAACCAAGCAACTTTGTGTGATTCTGAGCCTGTTAATCCATCTGTTGGTGTCTTGGTTTCCCATGTGCAAAATGGGGAAAAATATACTACCTAGTGTTCCCCAATAGGATTAAAGGAATTAACACATGTAACATGCTTATTAGCACAGTGGCTGTCACACAGGAAGCCCTCGGTAAATGTTAGCTGAGCAGAGGGTGCACTGGCTCCGTGCTTAAGAAACTCAGAGCTGGTGGCAGACATCTCAGACACACTGGGCTGTAGTGCTCTGAAAGCCTGGGTGCCAATCCAAGGGAATCCCCCAAGGCTGGTGCCCCTATTCACTGGCCACCACTCACTACCTCCTTATAGTTTCTATACCCCTTATTTCAATAAATCCTCATTCTAACCCCATAAAAGCTCCTCATGCCCACTGTGCAGTCACAGAGAGCATGGCTTGGTGATATGCCAAGATGTGGTGATCGTGTTGCAGTTGGAACAGAGACAAGAGGCCTCCACCCTTGGGATGCTAGCCATTAACCTCCCCAGCTGCAACACCCACAGTGGATGGTTCTACCTGGGGCCTGCCACAGAGACATACAGAATCTCACCCCCATTCTTGGTACATACCCATCACATCTCCTTCCTGTTACAAAAGCTTTGGTGGCTCCCTTTGGTCTCTAGGAGAGAGCCCCAATTCCTCTGCTCTGTATCTAAGATGGTTTAAAAGTCAGCTCTTATCAGTTTCCCAACCTCTTTGTATGCCGACATTCCTTGAACATGCCAAGCACTTTCATGCATCTAGTCCTAGAGATGGCTATTCTCTCTACTTACCCTTCCTTCCCATCCTTGCCCCTTCTCTGGTCCCAGGACAGATCACAGTATTGTTATTCACTTCAAGTCTATTTCCCTCCCTATACGTGGACAAGGCTGGGAATCGTATTTTCTTTTACCAATTATGGGCACCCAGGAAATGCTGGGAGGTAGACTGAGAAGGAGAAATATACTCTGTTCTTTAAGAGCACACAGCCTATATGTCAATGTGCTCTTTTCTTATCAAATTAGACCCATTTGAAGTTCAGTTTATGAAGCTGCTGGTTATAATAAGGAAAGTTGGGATGTCAGCTCAAGGAGAGTCCCGTGGATTCGTGTTGCAGAGCCCCTCCTCATAGATGGGAAACATGTAGATCTCACACCAGGATGCCTGGGTGGCTCAGTAGTTGAGTGTCTGCCTTTGGCTCAGGGTGTGATCCCGGGGTCCTAGGATCGAGTTCCATATCGGGTTCCCCACAGGGAAACATGTAGATCTCACACCAGGATGCCTGGGTGGCTCAGTAGTTAAGTGTCTGCCTTTGGCTCAGGGTGTGATCCCGGGGTCCTAGGATCGAGTCCCATATCAGGTTCCCCACAGGGAGCCTGCTTCTCCCTCTGCCTATGTTTCTGTCTCTCTCTGTCTTGAATGAATGAATGAATGAATGAATAAGAAATAAAGAAAGAAGAAAGAAAAAAGAAAAGAAAAGAAAAAAAAAGAAAGAAAAGAAAAGAAAAGAAAAGAAAAGAAAAGAAAAGAAAAGAAAAGAAAGAAAGAAAAGAAAAGATCTCACACCAAAGTAGCCCTGGATGTGAAGTTGGAGTTATCATATGATGCAGGACATAAAGTACCAAAAGATGTACATTCTCTTGGGAACTGAGGTCCTTGGGAGGGTTAGAGCAGGAGAAGCATGGTAGGGAAGGGCAAGAGATCAACCACCTAACCCCAGTGCCAGCACGCTCTAGGTTGATGATTAGAGACAAAGAGGGGAGCCCCAAATCCTCAGATAAGAATAAGGTGCCTCCCTCCTCTGACTGCTCCCTGTACAGTTAACACTCAGGGAGCTTTGGCTGAATAAAATGCACAACAGTACTGCACAGGGTGTGAATAGGGCTAGAGCTGGCTTTGTGTAGTCTGGAAATTTGCCTGGGCTTTAAGGATGATTATTTGGCCAGGTTGGCAGAGTTTGAGCACATGTGGAAGTAGGCACCCATAGCATCTGAGGACCAGTGGAGGCTGATCCTACCATGAGGGTGATGCTGGGGACATGGAGAGGCCAATGAGGACCAGACTGGGCTCTGTTTGGAGAGCTCCTAGGCTGCCTACACCACTGTGGGGCAGAATGAGGTGGAGGGTTAGGAGGAAGACAGACAGGACATATCTTCAGGCTGCAACAGTTCTGGGGTCACATTTTAAAAAGTGAATGCCTGGGGCACTTGTTTGGCTCAGTCAGTAGGGTGCGCAACTCTTGATCTCAAGGTTGTGAGTTTGATCCCCACATTGGGTGCAGGGATTACTTAAAAGTAAAAATATCTTTTAATAAATGTGAATGCCTCAAAACTGCATGGGATACCACTTCACACCAGTCAGAATGGCTAAAATTAACAAGTCAGGAAACGACAGATATTGGCAAGGATGTGGAGAAAGGGGAAGCTTCTTACGCTGTTGGTAGGAATGCAGCCCCTCTGGAAAACAGTATGGAGGTTCCTCAAAAAGTTTAAGATAGAGGTATCCTATGACCCAGCAAATGAACTACTGGGCATTTACCCTAAAGATACAAATGTAGTGAAACGAAGGGACACCTGTACCCCAATGTTTTTAGCAGCAATGACCACAACAGCCAAATTATGGAAAGAGCCCAGATGTCCATCAACAGATAAATGGATAAAAAAGATGTGGTATATATATATACCAATGGAGTATTACTCAGCTATCAAAAAGAATGAAATCTTGCCATTTGCAGTGACGTGGATAGAACTAGAGGGTATTATATTAAGTGAAATAAGTCAGTCAAAGACAATTATCATATGATCTCACTCATATGTGGAATTTAAGAAACAAAACAAAGGATCATAGGGGATGAGAGGAAAAAATAGAACAAGATGAAATCAGAGAGGGAGACAAACCATAAGAGACTCTTGATCATAGGAAACAAACTAAGTGTTGCTGGAAGGGAGAGGGTAGGGAGATGGGGTAACTAGGTGATAGACAGTGGGGCATGTGATGTGGCATGTGATGTGATGAGCACTGGGTGTTATATAAGACTGATGAATCACTGAACTCTATCTCTGAAACCAATAATATATGTTCACTAATAGAATTTAAATAATTTTTTAATTCAAAAATAATTTTTAAAAATAATAATTAGGGATGCCTGAGTGGCTCAGCAGTTGAGCGTCTGCCTTCGGCTTAAAGCATGATCCCAGGATCCGGGATTGAGTCCCATATCAGGCTCCTTGTGGGGAGCCTGCTTCTCCCTCTGCCTGTATCTCTGCCTCTCTCTCTCTCTGTCTCTCTGTCTCTCATGAATAAATAAATAAAATCTTTAAAATAATAATAATAATTAAAACATGCGAACACATTTGGTTAAAACACTGTCCTCTGAAAGCCTCTAAAAAGTAAATACTTTTTTACTCACAGGGGGGAAAAAATGAATGTTTAATCTCTGGACTCAATTCTCATTTCCACAAAGGCTCAGTATTTGCCACCATCAAGGTGAGTTGTCCAGATCCTCCAGCAATGCCCACATCTCAGGATTCTGGACCATCTTTCTGTGCTCTTTCCTGCTCCTGTAGGGATCTGAATGGGAGCCCAACTTCCACAATCAGCTCATTAGGTTGCCCTGACCAAATCATCTCCCTACTTTGTGTCTCAGCCTCAGCTTCTGGGAAGCAGCAGGGTGGCCAGGATGCTTCCAGAGAGCCTTACTTGCTCAGTTGGCTGGAATGGGAATCTGTTTATTTGCCTAGATCCTTCCTAAGAAAATGAGTTTAGCAGAGCAAATGCTATTAACTGCAGGACAAGTCCTAGAATCAGGGGCATCCTTAGGCAGCCTAGAGGGCAGGCAGGCATAGCCCTAGAGAGAGCAGCTGGTAGGCAGGAAACCCACATCAGACAAGCCAGAGGGCAGACAAGTGAATAGGCATACAGGAGGTTAGGTAAGCAGGAAGAATGGGGCAGACTGAAAGACAAAAAGGCTAATGGAGAGACAGATGGGAACAATGGAAAGAGAGAAAGGCATAAAGACAGGAAAGCAGGAGGGGACAGGAAGAAAGGTAGGTAACTGGGCAGGCAGGCAGAGGGGAACGGACAAAAGGATGGGTAAAGATGAACGGACAAATGGACAGACAGACCAGACAGAGAATATGGATAGATGGACCAACAGCCAGAGGACAAAGACAAAAGCAGGATGATTGGCAAAAAGAAAAAAAAAGGCACACCAATGGTCAGTCATTCAGGCCTGGGTGCTTAAGGGGAGAACACAGAGGGGGCAACACAAGCAGCTGAGGGCAGAGGGTCAGACAGCACTGCTGACCAACCTCAAACAGACAGACAGGCAGAAGGGCAGCCCTACCTCATTCTGTAGGGACAGGGGCCCATGTTCAGGATACTCCCAGCCTGCCTCGCAGGGCTGCGTCTCATTGAAGCGGTGGCTGAGAATGTCCTCCAGGCTGGCATTGTCAGGAGGAGGCCGGAACATGAGGCAGGGCTCAGGACTGCCTGCAGCATCCAGGGGCACACTCAGTGTCAGCTGCTCGGCAGCACTCAGGTTCAAAGTATGGTTCTTGACCCAGGCCACTGAGCAGTAGTGGGCCTCATCCTGGATCATAAAGACTTGGGCAAACATGTAGAAAGCAGACAGGAAGTTGGGGATACTCAGCAGTATCAGCAGCCGTACTTGGAAGCGATTGAAGTCACCTATTTCGTCCAGGACCTGGACAAACTGAGCCATGTCTACTGGTCAGCCTGGGGCCACCAAACAGCTCCGCAGCTTGGCTTTGGGGCACTTGCTCCTGTGAGCAGTAATGACAGCTGTGTTAATATTTAATCCAGCCTTGCCTGGCCCAACCTGTCACACTTCAACTTCCTGGCTGTAGCCTGGGAAGGATGAAAAACTAGTCCACTCTGGTTTACAGAATCCAAGGATGCTTTATTGCTAGTATTATGGACAGAAACATTATAAGAAGTACCTTCTCAGGCCCAGCACAGGAATGAGCTTTAGCCAAATGTTAAATAGTGCATGAGCAGACCCCTCCAATAACAACATCCTAAACAAGTCACTCCTGGCTCAAATCCCTCCCATTACAATAGACTCCAAATTCTGAGAGTAGTTCCAACACTCAGAGGGACACAGAAGTCCCTTCTAGGGACTAGCCCACCTTAGACAATGGGGGTAAGTCAGGAGAACAGCAAGGACCCAGCCTGCATACTAACTTGGTCAGCACCCCATTCTGGCCTCTTGATGCTGCTGATCTTATCTTTCTCCTAGGGGTCTCTGGGATGTGGTAAGGCAGCATGAAGGCCAAGAGACCTATCAAGGGCATAAATGCCTTTCCTTCTCAGTACCAAAGACAATCCAAGAGCACCCAACAATTACCAAAGAGCCAAGAGTTACATTTTGAGCCCTACTCTAATCAAGGAAGAAACCATTAACACATTCTCATGATAAGGAACACCCAAGTTGCTGAAAGGTAGCTTCAATCACAATAGGTAATTCAGTGATAACAGAGAAACACAGGACAAAGTCTTCCTCCACCACAACCTCACCTGTGGAAGCTGGAGTCAAGGTTGGGATGGGACGCCTGGTGGCTGGTAGGTCAGGATTCTTACAGGACTGGAGAATTATAGGACCTCCGAGAGGAGGAATCTCCCAAAGATTAAAAAGCCCCCATCCTTTTTACCCTGAAAGAGGTCTACTTGGAAGACCTGGAAGAGGTAGACCAAGGGCTTGGAAAGCATCTAGTTCAGTCATGGGAGATGGGGAATGATAGGATTAAAGATGGCATTCGGGAAAAACACACATGTATGTGTGCGTGCGCACATACACACATATTTGCCTGTGTGTGCATGGGGAAGCCTTCTCATCTTTGAATTTTGAACCATTTTAAGAGAGGCTGAGCAGTACAGGTGAAGGGAATGCAAGGAATCAAGGCTGTACAGAGCAGTTCTGGATATGGCATGGCTATATATGGCCCCTGGTCATCACAGCTGCTGGCTCCTTATTAGTCAGCCAGGATGCAGAGCAGGTCAAGGCAGGGCAGACTGTGAAGGGCAGAGGCAAGGCACCATGACCCTGCAAAAGAAGAGCACCTCCCTCTCTGTCCCATCCCAAGTTCCCTACCAGTCTCACCACTGTCCCCAGCTCTATCTTTTCTTCCTTACCTAGTTTTCTTGCATGTGTTTGTCCTCAGCATGAACCTCAATTGAACTAGCAAGAAAACAGATGCTGCTAGTGCCACTGCCCAATATGGTGTTCCCCTATTGGGAAAGAACAGAGATGGAGACATAAGCCTGTCCTCAGTCCGAATCATCTTCTTACTCCAGTCAAGGAGAAGATTTTTGTTTCTTTGGCTCCAAGGGTAGCCAAGGGAGCTGGAGCTAGCAGGCAGGAAGCTTGGGTTCTGCTACTGATTCACTGTGATCCTGAGTCTGTCCCTTGTTAAATGAAAAAAAAAAAAAAGAAAATCAACTGAGTAGATTGAAAGATCTAATTGGCTTTACTCAATGATTCATGAATTGGGTAGTATCCCATCTAGCAAGTAGAAAGGAGCTCCAAGGAGCTGTACAAAGCAGAATTTTATAGGCAGAAAGGGCAGAAAACAGAAAATTTCCAGCAAAGAATGTATTGTTTCCAGTAAAGTTGCCTTCCTTTGGGGGAAGGTAGGAATCTATTAGGCAGATTACCTCACTAGTGCTGACCAGGTAATCCCAGATTGACTGGTTAAAGATCACATTCCTGGGAGAGACTGAAATTACAATGAAGTCAGGTATTAAATCTCAGTTTGCTGACGTGGGGCTTAGCACAAGTGACTCTATTTTGAGCCTACTGTTTCCTTCCTTCCTTCCTTTCTTTCTTTCTTTCTTTCTTTCTTTCTTTCTTTCTTTCTTTCTTTCTTTTTCTTTCTTTCTTTTTTTTTTAACAATTCCTCCTTTTAATCAGACTCTAAGCTTAACCAAGAGATGTGATTAAAAATGTAAGGCATTAAATGCCACTCTCAGCTACCATGCTATAGTTCTCACAGCTTTAACTTATCTTCTTTGTGACAGTAACTGGTCATGATATTTTTTGCTGAATCTCTGTAGTGTTCACAGATCATAACTTCAGGTTCACATTTTTTTAGTTCATCTTTCTCTTTGGTCCTTTTTGACAGTCCAGTCTTAGGGAGATCATTTGTTTGGTGGTTAGTGGCTGCTAACATGCATTTACTTTTGAGAGAACACAGCATGCCAAGGAGACTACTATGATTATTGTAAGCACAATAATTCCCAATGTATGGAGTACACTTCAGAGCCATGATCCCCAAGACCCAAACCAATCAAAATCAAATAAGTAAAAAAAAAGATCCTGTAGAAGGAGTCACCTTTTTAAGGCAAGTTGTTTGCTCAGTGATGTTGTATAACTGAGTTTTAACTTCCCCAGAAGTGCTAGTCTAGGTATAGCCTGTGGTGTTGGCCACAGCACAGTCACCTCATTGCTCAGCTAAAAGATAAAGGCTATCCTATTAGCAAGAACAACTTTGGCCATCAAGTCTAATGATCTTTGTTGGTAGCTATTGCTATGGAAGCAGATTCTATAATACTCTCCAGAGGTAAGGAGAGTTTCCTGATCATAGCCTCAGCTGAACCTATTCCTAACTAGGGGAAACAGGGACCTCCAAAGGAAGCATATCCTGAACAATGAAAGCCTCCAGGTAGGTCCTCACTAACTTGACAATGTAAATTCAAGGGAGTTAACCAGCGAGGTGTGTATTTGTGAACAGCTAGAGGCACTGCCTGGCTACACGCCAGCAATCTGGGCATCCCTAGGCCCATGGAGGATGATCACCACCACAAACAAAGATAAGTCCTGTTGGGCACAAACCACTCCTGCTAAGGCAGCGCCACTGCTAATATCACAGAGAGGTCAGAGCTTTTGATGACAAATCCAACAGTCTGCAAGGTTACCCCCCTTTCCAATGGGCAAGGAGATACAGATGATGGTGTTATTTTTCCAGGCCAATGCTAGAGTAAGAGAAAGAAAAGAAGAAAGTGTTTTGCGTTTAGTTAAACTAGGAAGTATTGATCTGGTGTCTTGGGTGGAAGCAGTCTACATTGATGTCAGCTACTTCTCTTCTTCATTGGTTTGATTTTGAGCACTTAGGTGGCCGGCAGTCCCTGGACCCTGAAAGAGCCCTTTTTAATTGAGAGATGTGGACCATGAGATTCAATCCCTGAAGTCTGGCTGCCGTCTGGGTGGTCAGGAGGACCTGTATCTATCCTCCCTCCCAAGGAGGTTCATGTGCAGACTTCGCTCCCAGTAACTCCAAATCAGAAGGGTGGGAGAAACTGAAATGTTGGTTTGGAGAGCTGTAGCCAGATACCTGAGGAAATTAGAATTTAGTCTAGTTCAGGTGTGTCTAACTAATCCTTAAAAACAATTAACAGGACTAGAATCTAATATCTATATGGTGCACATATAATTTTTCTCTCTACAATTACCTCCATTTTTTTTTTTTACTAAAGGTAATCACAGTAAAACTAATATGCATTAAACTCAGCCTGATTATTTATATAAGTGCAGTAAGAATAATGATTGGCCATATAAGCTCCTTTTACAAATTAATTAATTAATTGACTGACATCCAAGGGCCCCTATAAGCTCCTTTTAAAGACTACTTTGCTTAAACTATTTATAAGGAATTTCTATTGAACTCTTAAAAGCTTCTGAGGCATACATTTTAAGATAGTAACTATAATTACAACTGGTAACATTATACCAGGACATATCAGATTTCCAGGAATTTCACACAATTTCTGGAACACTTATATATAACTATACAAATACAACATAAAGAGGGCTTACTATTATTTCTTATTTGACAATAGTTCTCGTGTAATTTAACATAAAATAAACCTAATTTGTTTAACAACTCTCTTTTTATAAGTAGAGAGAGAAAAATCCATCTTTTTCTTTCTTCCTCCTTTCCTCTGTCCCTCCTTCCCTCTATCTCTATCCCTCTCTATTTCTTTTTCTTTCTTTCAAGTAACTGCACCAATGAGTGGCTTGAACCCATGATTCTGCAATGAATAATCACATGCTCCACTGACTGAGCCAGCCAAGGGCCCCAAGAACAAACCTTTTAAGATGTTCCAGAGGCCCTCTGAAATACCCCACAGTAAGTTAGAGGTTAAAAAAGACTTCATTTTGCATTTGATTTTTGGGAAGTTTGTCAAAAATATCAAAAGGTAGGCTCCGTGGTTGAGCAGATGTCTGCTTTTGGCTCAGGGTGTGATCCCAGGGTCCTGGGATCTAGTCCCACATCAGGCTCTGTCTCTCATGAATAAATAAATAAAATCTTAAAAAAAAAATAAAAGATTATAAAAATAGTTGGTCAAATAGGATCATAGTTCAGGGTGAAAGAATATTTAGTTATCTATTTAACCATAGTGATAATTAAAAACTTCACAGACAAATACAGAAAGTTAAATAATTGTAAAACAAACTTTAGCTCCTTTAATAGAGAAGTCTCAGTTTTCTTAGGTCTGAGAAGACTCAGTAATCAAAGATCTGATATGAAACACAAGAAATTATATTGACAAGACAAAATCTTTGTTTTCTAGGAAGATTACTTAAAGGTTAAAAAAAACTTTTATAATCACTTAAAGAGCAAAGAGTGTAGGAAAACTTTGTCCTTTTAAATTTTTTTTTTAAGATTTTATTTATTTCTTCATTCAAGACACAGAAAGAGGCAGAGACACAGGCAGAGAGAGAAGCAGTTTCCCTGTGGGGAGCCCAATGAGGGACTTGATCCCAGCACCCCAGGATAATACCTTGAGCCAAAGGCAGATGCCCAACTACTGAGCCACCCAGGTGCCCCTGTCCTTTTTTTTTTCTTTTCTTTTTTTTTTTTTTAAGATTTTATTTCAGAGAGAGAGAGAGCATGAGCAGGGGAAGAAGCAGAGGGAGAGGGACAAGCAGACTCCCTGCTGATCCGGGAGCCTGAGGCAGGGCTCCATCCCAGGACTCTGGGATCATGACCTGAGCCAAAGACAGCCGCTCAACCAACTAAGCCACCTAGGCAGCCTGAAATTTTGTCCTTTTAACAGAGATGAAACCAATTCTAACTTTATACCAATGTACTTTTAGATCCATCCCAATCTTAGTCAGTTGACCACACATAAAATTATTTTCCAAGATTTCTTTTCTATAAGCCTTCTGCCATTTTTCTTTCTTTTTTTATTTTTTTCTTCTTCACATTTTGTCCTGTTTTTTCTTTCCCATTCTGGGTGAGGAGGGGAGCTTAAATTTTCCCTCAACAAAAATTCATTTCCATTTCTCATAATTTCTCTTAGCAAAAACACACATCCGGCTTTCCTTGGATGCAGAAATTGTATAGGCCACTTTCAGGCAGCAGGTCAGGGAGAAGGGCCCACAGTGATCCCAACCCTCCGGCTAAATGCAAACAGGCCCAATAGGTGACTTGCCTCAAAATAGCCATAAGCCCTAGCTGACCCATACATTCCCACTTTCTCACCTTCCCCCTTAACTACAAGTCCCCACTACTGCCTCCAGGTAGACTCTGCTTTGCTCCTGTCCACTCTTCCTTTGTGAAATCATTCAATAAACTACTTCCACCCTTCTGCCCCTGGTGAATTCTCTCACCATCTGCACCACCCAGCTTCCACAGGATCAGGTCGCCCCACAGAGATGTTTCCCTTATTATTTCTAGTAGTTTTAAACAATTGTGAATGGTCTGTTACTGGCAAATTTATAAATAGTTTTTATAATTTCTAGAAACACATGCTTTCTCATAGTTTATTTTTCAGTGTGACACAAAGCATGTTTATCAATAGATCCAAATCTTTAATTCCTCTGTAAAAAGGAGCCAAAAGTGGATAAACCTATTTTCAGTAATGTTTTAGTATTTGATTTTATTTAGAGAGAATCTGGATATTCAATAATGAATTTGGCTTAACTCATTTAACTTGGCAAACTTTTATTAACTTATTTATTTATTTATATTTCATTCATTTATCTGAGAGAGAAACAGAGAGTACAAGCATGTGGAGCAGCAGAGAGAAAGGGAGAACCAGGCTCCCTCAGCAGGAAACCTGACTCAGGGCTTGATCCCTAGACCCTGAGATCATGACCTGAGCTGAAGGCAGGTACTTAATCAACTGACCTATCTGGGTGCCCCCAAATAGCAAAACTTTAAAGTTTTGAGAAACCAAAATATTTTGGAAACTATTTGCTGAAAAGTTCCCTTAACAATTATGTTTAGATTACCTACAAAAACTTCAC